CACCTTGTTATGTCAGATTCTCCAGCATCTGCAGTTCCTACTATCTCTGATACAATAATGGTGAAGAGTTGCTTTTCAGACTGGAGGGCTGTGACCAGCAGTGTTCTACAGGGATCGGTTCTGGGTCCTTTTTTGTTTGTTATTTATATAAATGATTTGGATGAGAATATAGAAGGCAATGGTAAGTAAGTTTGCGGACAACACCAAAATTGATGGCATAGTAGAAAGTGAAGAAGGCTAAAATTACAAAGGGATCTTGATGAAATGGGTCAATGGGCTGAAAAATGGCAGATGGATTTAAATCTTGATAAGTGTAAGGTATTACATTTTGGTACAATAAACAATGGTAGGGCTTATAAATTAACAGTAGGGCCTTGGGTAGAGTTGTAGAACAGAAGGACCTGGGGGTGCAGGTTCAAAATTTTTTGAAGTTTGCATCACATATAGACAAGGTGGTGCTTGTCTTCATTGCTCAATCCTTTGAGTATAGGAGTTGGGAAGTCATGTTGAGGCGGTATAGGACATTTGTGAGGCCTCTTCTGGAATACTGTGTCCATTTCTTGTCATTATAGAATGGATGTTATCAAGCTGGAGAGGGTTCAGAAGAGATTGACTAGGATGTTGCCGGGTATGGAAGGTTTGAGTTGTAAAGATAAGCTGGGACTTTTTCTACTGGAGCACAGGAGGTTGAGAGGCAGCCTGATACAAGTTTATAAAATGAGTATAGCCTTAGTTAATAGTGGTTGTTTTTTCTCTAGGATGGGGGCACATTTTTAAGGTGAGAGGAGAGAGATTTATAAAAGGCATAAGGCAATTTTTTTAGACAGAGGGTCACTCGTGTGCGGAATGAACTTCCTGAGGAAGTGTTGGATGTGGGTACAACTACAACTTTAAAAGACATTTGAATAAGTACATGAATAAGTACATGAATAAGAAAGATTTGGAGGGATAAGAGTCAGGAACAGGCAGGTGGGACTTGTTTGAATTATGTTTGGCATGGACTGGTTGGACCAAAGAGTCTGTTTCTGTGCTGTCTGACTTTATGAGGGACATGGATTGGTGAATAGTCACCAGGGTATGGGTATCCGGGGCTGCAGGGTGTGCTTTTTGGATGGGAGGGGAATGACATAGAGGAGACCTAGGGTTTAACAATTTTCATGCGGAGGGTGGTGTGTGTATAGAATGAGCTGCCAGAGGAAGTGGTTACAATTGCAACATTTCTTTGGGGGGGGGGGGGGG